AAAATGTGTACCTTTCCAATAATATAGAATCATCCGTTCAAATTAAAAACAATTAAGTTGCAGTAGTGATATCCCCGATTCTTTAAATAACGAAACTATAATGGACTTCACAAGGGTAGAATTCAACATTAATTTATGTACATGTGCAATTACAATCACTATCAAAATTGGTAGAGTTATCGATAGGTCATCCTGCGTCACCTTTCAGTGTAACCGATGGACTCGTCCAGAGAAATCATCTGTACCTGAGCAAAATCGCAGCGCCTTTTATTCATTCGTCAAAGAATAGAATCAGACATTTTATCTTTTAATACTCGTACATGTTCAAGAAAACCTTTATATTTGTGTCTAGAAATATTCTTACGATTTACGCAAATAACAAATTTTTGATTTTAAGCTGAGTAAATCGATGACTAGCATCGTTTTAGATAACTCTGGGACTCGCGTAAAAATCAAAGAGCGGTAATGTTGACCTCCGGAATGTATATAGGTCAATGCATGCGCGATCGATAAACAGGTTGCACAACTGTAAACAAAGCAGTCAAGGTCCGACGAAAATTCACGATGCATGAATAAAATGACAGTGAATTAATTTAAGCTTGATTTTTTTTTTTTTATAAATAATGCAACATTGAGTATCAATCGAATGAGAGATGATAAGTATTTTTCCTATCCCCCGTCTTGTAATTCAAACTAAATACAAGGAGAAAGTTGTCTCTGAATAATCTGTATGACATCCAGCTAGAGAATACGTTAAAAACTTTATTTCAACAAAGTTTAACATTCAGTTTAGTGAAGTATATTATTCTTATCCAGTTTATTTCAGTTGTATGTGTTATACGCGTACGCATAAAGAATTCTTCACTTGCCGTATAAAATTAATCAGTTACCTGTACATAAAGTTTGCTGCTCATTCAATAACACAAGATTCGAACAAAATAACGTTTTCATGAGATCAATAAGATGTTAAAGACCCATTTCAAATCGATAACCATATCGAAATATTTACCGTTTTTGAGTTATAATGCAAAAACTTTCATGCTCCCTTGACCCCTAATTTGAGGGGCCAGCCCCTTTTTAATGATGTCAAATGATAGACCTTAAAATTATGCACAATATTTGTGAAATATGTCTTAACAAATTATTTTTAGTTTAAAAGATACACAAGGAAATATATGTAAAATTTGGCGCTTTTAGGCATTCTCATTTTTGACCCCTATCTAGCACCGTTTGGAGCGCAGAAATCGAAAAAGAAAAACCGATGTGCACAACTTCAATTCTTCTAGTATTTAAATGCAGTAGACATTCTGCTCCAGCTTTTGTCGTTTCTGAGCCTTTGTCTGGAAACGAACAGTACCAAATTTTCACTTAAAGGGAAATAACTCGAAAGCGGAAGGGAATTTTTGAAATGTATGAAAACATTTTAATTGAGTTTTGTAACGTCCAAAAACTCTGAAAATTTGAGCGAAATCCGTTCAGAAATGAGCGAGTTACGAGGTCTCAAAGTTGGCGTCTAGGAAAAAAAAAAAACAAAAAAAAAGAATAATAGGGAATAATCTTAACCATCAGAATCAGTAGAAGGTCTTCCGCCTGAGCGGAAGACCTTAATAATTGAAGGGCAAGTTGGACGTGAATGGTCTCTGAAAGGCTGTTATTGAAAGCATGACATGTATATACATGTACCTCTTCCAAAATGGTGAATTTTATGGCCCCAGGGTCAAGGGTTCTGGTGTTAAGGCGGGGCTCTATTGAATTTATTGTGAAAATGCATTAATTCTTTGAAAATCTTCTTCTCTGCTCCTGGGCATTAAATAAACTATTTAAGTACATAGTTATGATGGGTAAGAATGCCTTTACCAATATTGGTGTTAGGGCAGGGCTCTATTGATTATATAGTGAAAATGCATTATTTCTTTGAAAAACTTCTTCTCTGCTCCTGGTCCCAGGATCATGAAACCGACTTAGACTCAAGTCTTTTGAAAAGAAGGACTCATTTTAACCCCCCATGGACTCTAAGTCGGTTTACTGACTGGTCTGCTGGTATTTGCATTGTCACCTGTAAAATAAATTAAGCTTGATTAATGCATTATTCAGTAGAGCTTATAGTAAAATGACTGTTCGAGTGTTGTATGCCTGCAATAATCGGTAGTTTATTCAATATAGTGATAAATACGATTTGCTTGAACCAAAAAAATTATGCGTGTAAGGAATAAAAGCCGGGGTAAATAATAATCCCTGTAAAGTTGCAAACCTTTGACTGAACCTGCATATTTAATAATATACAATAAGTTGATTTAAAAAAAAAAATTAGGGGAGGGTTACCTTCTTTGGAGGTTCCAGGTTTATCAGCCTCTGTGAGCGGAATCACAGCACTATGACTAAGGGTTGATGTGTCTTTGACTAGAAATAATAATTATAATGATTAAAAGTTTAAAAATCAGTGAAAGTCGTAAAGGAACTTTTTCTATGAAATATAAATAACATATCTCTCTTATTTTATCGAATAAGAAATAAATTCTTGTAAAAATAAATACTTCTATCACTGTATAATTATTTAACGCATTTATGTGTATGAGCCTTACCACCATTTCTGCTACTTGTACTGGATAGTGACTGAGGCATGGTGTTATCTTTAAAATAAGAGATGAGTAATGTACATTAATGATTCAAAAGATAAAAAAAAAGATGAGGTGGAAAACAGACATGAATTTAACCACTCATATATTCCGGTGAGATTCAGTGATTAAGGAAGCAATACGTTTTGCCAAAGCAAAGTGTTCAACTTTTAATCTGGTACTGTGGTGCATAAATTACATACACTTTAAGTAAAAAATAAAAAGGCCCTTTGGTTGGGGAGTTCAGGCTTAGCAGAATCTGTAGTGGATGGAACAACAGCGGTGATACTAATGGAAGAAGCTTCTTGGACATTAATGATACCACACAAAAATTATATATTTAAACTAAAGAATACTGTTTGCCCCTTTTTGAAATTAATTTATGTAATTCTGGTACATGTGTAATTTCAATCTGTTTACATAATCATAATTATATCATTAATCTTTTGTTAGTTGCTACTATCAATTCTGAATTTCTTCTTGCATTTCTCAATACTTGTATGCCCTGATGGGCACCAAATTGGTATTAATAAATCTTATCTTATCTACTGTCAATATAAAAATATGATAAGAGCCTATATACATATAACATTCTGCCGTATCAACTCCACTGCTAATGCCCTCGATTGCAGCATCTGATAACGATTTTAGAACCTACAAAATATATAAGGATACATAAATACATCTATCAAGAAATAAAGGTCCATGACCCACAATGCTCGCCTGAGTAACATTTGCACTGACAGACACTCTTTAATCAGGAAAGCTCACATGAACCTTTATGTCAGGAGTGCTAAAAACAGCCTTGGATCAATATCACTGTTGGGGTCCTTAGAAAATTTATAGCAGGAAGATAATTTTATGCAACTGTTTGCTTATTGAAAATATTCTTTCAACAAATTCTTTCTAAATGATTTGTTTTATGCACTGAAACTCTAGATATTCCACTCATACTGATTTCAATACTAACTGACGAAAGTGAATGACATATTGTTTAAAAAAATGAAGCATTTATTTTATAAACTTTACCAAATTTTCCCAACATTTAAAAATTAGATTTGGGCCAGGGCCTCCACCAGTCATCTTTATAGATCTTCTCCTTTCTCCTTCTTTCTTTTTTGTCAGGCTCTGCATGTCGGCCCACTTTTTTTTTCATTTCGTCGACTGTTCTTTTAACCATAGCAAGAGAGTTGACTCTAACATAGAACAATAGAATATTCACATTTAAGGAAACGTTTATAGGATAATAACTTCACCAGAATAACAAAAATCTCATTTTAATTTATGAATAATATTGAAATGCAGTACTTAGTAAAATTGGTTATTCTGTTTAAAATATATGAATTCTGTAATTTTCTATAAATATTGGTCTACCATATGTCATATTAGATAATTTTTCGCTTTTTAATAGCATGATTTTGCAAAAAAATAAAAAAAATTCCTAGAGAAAAATAGATGAATGAATTCAAATCCTTTGAATGACATGTTTTTTTTTCACTTTAAAGTGTTTGTTAAAGTTAAATACTTTAAAGTGTTTGTTAAAGTTAAATTTCTTTTATTTTGTGTCTTGTGTACACATTTTTTGCAAATAGGTACAGTAGTTAGGTTTTTGACAGTTTGGGTGGACACTCGTAACTACGAATATTTATATTTCCTTTAAAAGAGAGTTTCAAGATCGTATCTTACGAATTGTTCATAAGTTAAGATTACGATAATTAAAAGTTACGAACTTCGTAACTCGGACTTTTTTTCTTAAGATACGAAGTTTAGTAAAACTGAAGCCAGGTCTACCGTTGGGTTTGAAAAATAATGCATTTCACACGTTAAAAGTCACAATCAGGATAATTTAAAGTATGAATAAGTCCCAAATGTAAATATAAGCAATGAGGTATCATTTTTTGTTTTATTGGGATGTAAAACGGGTTGGCACATGATCAAATCTTCCATAATGGGATTTGTTCACGTGACCGGGTTGGCACATGATCAAATCTTCCATAAAGCTTCGGGCTTTATGGGATTTTATCACGTGACCGACCCGTTTTACATCCCAATAAAACTCAACAAATGATACCTTATTTCTTAAATGTAAAAGTACTGTAAATCAGTTATTATTTGCGTCACTTTTTATTCGCTATTTCAGTTTGAAAACGATATGCGCGATCAATTTTCGCGACCGAGGAAACTGTTCAGCATCAGTAGTTCGCAGTGATTCATATTCGCTAATTAAAGCAACTCGCAAAAAAAGTTATGCAACGTTATTGTTCTCTGATATGAAAAAGATATTAATTTTAAGATGTCTGTTCTTCCCCTCTCCTTCTTCTAAATAAATGATTTACATAAATTAAAAAAAACTTACAATCTGTAAATAAATCACAATTCATTCAGTCTGCAGTTGTGTTTATCGCTGTGTTGCTGCTGCTAGTTTCTTTGGAATGGTGCTCATCGCCTGTACACGTAGAAGCTTGTTGTTGGGGCAAGAAGAAAACTAAAACCGGTAAAGACAAAGCCGTGGTTACCGGTAATGCACAGTTAGAGAAAGAGACACCGGCCGAGATTTCAAAAGGAGGATCAAAAGTAAGTCCAGTTTTTGAATTTTAATCAAAGTTTAGGCTTTGCCAAAATTTGATGTCAGTCTCGATTAAAACAATGTTATTTTCCTTGGAAGGAGGGGGGGGGGGTCTTGATCTTCATGTTTGACCTAATTAAAAAAATTAAATTTAGTGATAACTTTTTAATGGCATATGATAGGGCGTTTATATTTGACTCAATATGCGCATAGGGGACACAGTTCTTTTAATTTGCTTGTTTAACAAACATAGTAAATGATGATAGTTCCACGGAAAGAAATGGTTAAGAACATTAGTTCTTTGTAGCTTTGAACAAAAATACGTGTGAATTTCATGAATTGGGACAATATGTAACAATGAACTTGTTAGTGAGCACTTTATCCGAAATTATCTATGTTAGAAATTATATATTTGCCTATATTTTTTGCAGTGAGTACCTTAATGCTGAATGGTCTTGACCTGATCTGCAGAAATGATTATTGAAAACTAAATTATTAATAAATATTCATGCATTTGATTGTCTTAATAATTCTTATATTTAAACTCTGGGGCAAAGCCAGATAATTTTGCTGACTTTCGGGTACCTCAATGTCAATTGGGCAATTTTTGTAATCAGATGTTTTTTTCTTATAATATATTTCAATTCAAACTTTGATTTATTATCTTATACCCCTATGGGACAGATCTGTATACTATATTAAATGACGGAAAAACAAAGTTTGTATCTACCGTTTCGTGTATGTCAAGGTCACGCCACTTTTATTTTCAGCTCAAACTTGTAAAGAGCATTTTTGTTAATTTCTTATTTTTAGTCACTGTTTTAACATGAAATGCCTTTTAAAATCATTTTGTCTGTCATACCGGATCTTAAAGTCCATGCTTATCCATATACATGTGTACAGTGCTTAAATGTCCATCATATATTTTGTAGCAACTTGTTCCTCACAACTGATAAAATGAGACAGAGAAAACTGTTCATTAGAAAATGTGATTTAATCAAAATATAGTGATAACAAAATATAAGACGGATATTCCTTGTAAATCAAGAAATGTCATGAAATTTCAAATGCAACTGCAAATTTGCATCACAATCTATCCTAATTATCCCCTCGCGCAACTAGTTGCGGAGGGGATATAGCATCGCGAATGTGCGTATGTGTGTGTGTTTGTGTGTCCTTGTGGGCAAGATTGACAGAAAACCTTTGCATTAACCATTCTCAGCGTTTACATACATGTGTGGCATTATAAAAAGATGAAGCCTATACATTTTCAAGTTCATTAATGAAATACTTCTTCAGATATCACGTTTCCACTGTCTCGAAACCCTGACATTTTATGTACGAGTTGACAATAATCATTTCCGCTAGGGAACCAGTTTAAAAGCCAGTTTTAAAGTTTAAAAGGCGTGTCGAGTCTGCGGGAACCAGATTAAATACCAAATTCCAACGGTAGAGTCTATAACATAACCTAGTCCTGGATTCCGGGAATATTATTTCCGGTATGGTTTTTTGTAATAGAACACATATTCGATCCCGATGCAATATACTTTTGTAAACATGATGATGTGTGGCAACTAATTCGATTTTTAATCGGAGACCTAATATTATGACATCCAAGCGAAAGTACGATTTCACTAAGTTTGTGGTATTTAATAGTAAACATAATAAATTTCATGACCTATTAGTATCACTTCTACAGTTCTATACACAAGCATGCCAAAGTAGAACTAGTGACCTACTTTAGTACTTAGCATGTGCACGTTCTGCAGAATATTAATTAAATTGATTAAGTATGTTAATCTACCGAGACAAAAAGAAGGTTGTTATAAGGAATCCAGCCCATATAAAGCTAGGTAATTAGTCTCTAAATGTGAACCTGGATAAAAGGAATTAGGTCCTAGAAGTAAAATAACGTTCAACGACCAATATATGATGGTATAGGTGTTCAACATAACCTAATAAAATGTTCAACTGTGCCATAACTCACATAACTCATAAAAAAAAAATTCATCGGAAACTAAAATCCGATACACAGGGAAACCTAGTAATCCAGTCATGGTTCAACAGATCCCAGTCACCGAACAGTGTAACCCAGCCACTGAACTACATATCCCAGTCACTATTAAATATTACACAGTCATGGTTGAACATAAACAAGTCTCTAAACTACCTAAATCCAGTAACAGTTCCACATAAATAAGTCTTTTAACAACCTAACCCAGTCACGGTTCAACATAAACAAGTCTCCAAACTATATAACCCAGTCACGGTTCTACATAAACAAGTCTCTAAAGTACCTATCCCAGTCACGGTTCTACATAAACAAGTCTCTAAACTATATAACCCAGTCACGGTTCTACATAAAGAAGTCTCTAAACTACATAACCTAGTCACGGTTCTACATAAAGAAGTCTCTAAACTACATAACCTAGTCACGGTTCTACATAAAGAAGTCTCTAAACCACATAACCTAGTCATGGTTCAATATAAACAAGTCCCTTAACTACCTAACCCAGTCACGGCTCTACATAAACAAGTCTCTAAACTACATAAACCAGTCACGGTTCTACATAAAGAAGTCTCTAAACTACATAACCCAGTCACGGTTCTACATAAAGAAGCCTCTAAACTACATAACCTAGTCACGGTTCAATATAAACAAGTCTCTTAACTACCTAACCCAGTCACGGTTCTACATAAACAAGTCTCTAAACTACATAAACCAGTCACGACTCTACATAAACAAGTCTCTAAACTACATAACCCAGTCACGGTTCTACATAAAGAAGTTTCTAAACTACATAACCTAGTCACGGTTCAATATAAACAAGTCTCTTAACTACCTAACCCAGTCACGGTTCTACATAAACAAGTCTCTTAACTACATAACCCAGTCACGGTTCTACATAAACAAGTCTCTAAACTACATAACCCAGTCACGGTTCTACATAAACAAGTCTCTAAACTACATAACCCAGTCACGGTTCTACATAAACAAGTCTCTAAACCACATAACCTAGTCACGGTTCAATATAAACAAGTCTCTTAACTACCTAACCCAGTCACGGTTCTACATAAACAAGTCTCTAAACTACATAACCTAGTCACAGTTATGTAGAATCGTGACTGGGTTAAGTAGTTTGGAGACTTGGTATGTCAAAGCGTGACTGTGTTAGGTAGTTTACAGACTTGGTTATGTAGAACCGTGACTGGGTTAGGTTGTTTAGAGACTTGGTTATGTAGAACCGTGACTAGTTTAGGTAGTTTACAGACTTGGTTATGTAGAACCATGACTAGGTTAGGTAGTTTACAGACTTGGTGATGTTGAACCATGACTGGGTTAGGTAGTTTATAGACTTGGTTATGTAGAACTGTGACTGGGTTACGTAGTTTAGAGACTTGGTGAAGTTGAACCGTGACTGGGTTAGGTAGTTTACAGACTTGGTCATGTTGAACCGTGACTGGTTTAGGTAGTTTACAGACTTGGTTAGGTTGAACCGTGACTGGGTTAGGTAGTTTATAGACTTAGTTATGTTGAACCGTGACTGTGTTAGGTTGTTTAGAGACTTGGTTAGGTTGAACTGTGACTGGGTTAGGTAGTTTACAGACTTGGTTATGTAGAACGTGACTGGGTTTGGTATTTTATAGACTTAGTTATGTTGAACCGTGACTGGGTTAGGTAGTTTAAAGACTTGGTTATGTAGAAAAGTGACTGGGTTAGGTAGTTTATAGACTTAGTTATGTCGAACCGTGACAGGGTTAGGTAGTTTACAGACTTGGTGAAGTCAAAGCGTGACTGTGTTAGGTAGTTTATAGACTTGGTGATGTTGAACCGTGACTGGGTAAGGTAGTTTAAAGACTTGGTTATGTAGAACCGTGACTGGGTTAGCTAGTTTACAGACTTGGTGATGTTGAACCATGACTGGGTTAGGTAGTTTATGGACTTAGTTATGTCGAACCGTGACTGGGTTAGGTTGTTTAGAGACTTGGTTAGGTTGAACCGTGACTGGGTAAGGTAGTTTACAGACTTGGTTATGTAGAACCGTGACTGGGTTAGGTAGTTTACAGACTTGGTGATGTAGAACCGTGACTGGTTTAGGTAGTTTAAAGACTTGGTTATGTAGAACCGTGACTGGGTTAGGTATTTTATAGACTTAGTTATGTTGAACCGTGACTGGGTTAGGTAGTTTAAAGACTTGGTTATGTAGAAAAGTGACTGGGTTAGGTAGTTTATAGACTTAGTTATGTCGAACCGTGACAGGGTTAGGTAGTTTACAGACTTGGTGATGTTGAACCGTGACTGGGTTAGGTAGTTTACAGACTTGGTGAAGTCAAAGCGTGACTGTGTTAGGTAGTTTATAGACTTGGTGATGTTGAACCGTGACTGGGTTAGGTAGTTTAAAGACTTGGTTATGTAGAACCGTGACTGGGTTAGGTAGTTTACAGACTTGGTGATGTTGAACCATGACTGGGTTAGGTAGTTTATGGACTTAGTTATGTCGAACCGTGACTGGGTTAGGTTGTTTAGAGACTTGGTTAGGTTGAACCGTGACTGGGTTAGGTAGTTTACAGACTTGGTTATGTAGAACCGTGACTGGGTTAGGTAGTTTACAGACTTGGTGATGTAGAACCGTGACTGGTTTAGGTAGTTTAAAGACTTGGTTATGTAGAACCGTGACTGGGTTAGGTAGTTTATAGACTTGGTGATGTTGAACCATGACTGGGTTAGGTAGTTTATGGATTTAGTTATGTCGAACCGTGACTGGGTTAGGTTGTTTAGAGACTTGGTTAGGTTGAACCGTGACTGGGTTAGGTAGTTTACAGACTTGGTTATGTAGAACCGTGACTGGGTTAGGTAGTTTACAGACTTGGTTATATAGAACCATGACTGGGTTAGGTAGTTTACAGACTTGGTCATGTTGAACCGTGACTGGGTTAGGTAGTTTATAGACTTGATTATGTAGAACCATGACTGGGTTAGGTAGTTTAGAGACTTGTTTATGTAGAACCATGACTGGGTTAGGTAGTTTACAGACTTGGTGATGTAGAACCTTGACTGGTTTAGGTAGTTTACAGACTTGGTGATGTAGAACCGTGACTGGTTTAGGTAGTTTAGAGACTTGGTGATGTTGAACCATGACTGGGTTAGGTAGTTTATGGACTTAGTTATGTTGAACCGTGACTGGGTTAGGTTGTTTAGAGACTTGGTTAGGTTGAACCGTGACTGGGTTAGGTAGTTTACAGACTTGGTCATGTTGAACCGTGACTGGGTTAGGTAGTTTATAGACTTGATTATGTAGAACCATGACTGGGTTAGGTAGTTTAGAGACTTGTTTATGAAGAACCGTGACTGGGTTAGGTAGTTTACAGACTTGGTGATGTAGAACCTTGACTGGTTTAGGTAGTTTACAGACTTGGTGATGTAGAACCGTGACTGGTTTAGGTAGTTTAGAGACTTGGTGATGTTGAACCATGACTGGGTTAGGTAGTTTATGGACTTAGTTATGTTGAACCGTGA